TGCTGCGTTCTGATGGATTGATAGGTTACAACCACTATAAACTTACTTCTCAATTCAAGATCTTTGGAGAACATGTTCTCTGCAGTCTGTCATCTGAACATAAATTTCTGTTTATGCATGGTTGATTTTTAATTAGACATAGTATATGATATGGAGTTTATTAGGAACTTCTGTGCTCCTTATATATGGTGGATTAATTGCCAATTTGGCTGTTCTTCTGCATTTCAGGGCACTATTGTGAAAGTTGATTCATCAAATGCTACATACTGTGTTTACAAATCTGATGTTGCCACTGGCTACGGAGTGGGTGCTTTCTTATTTCTTCTTTCAAGTGAATCACTACTTATGGGTGTCACTAAGTGCATGTGTTTTGGGAGACCTTTAGCACCGGGTGGGAATCGAGCTTGGTCAATCATCTATTTTGTTTCATCATGGTGAGATTTTTAATTAGGTTGACACACAAGATATGCCATCTGTTCCTTGCATGTGAATAATCAAAAGAAGTGCCTCAATTCTAAACACCCATTCCAAACCTCCATCATCGATATTTTGTTTAGGATTTTTACCATGCTCACATGCTATACTATTTGCTAATTTGATTTATGTCTGATTCTCTCTGTTGCTGACTTCCTCTACTTGTTTGTGGCATGTATGTTCTTTTTAAAACCAAAATTAGTCATTCATATTAAAGGGACTTGTTTGCGTAATAAATAGAAGATATAAAATTTCTATGCATTTGTGTTCGCAGGGTGACCTTTTTGATAGCAGAAGCATGTCTAGTGGCAGGTGCAACTAAGAATGCATATCACACCAACTATCGGGGAATGATTTATGCTCAGAATTTCTCTTGTGAAACTTTGAGGAAAGGAGTTTTTATTGCAGGAGCAGTGTTTGTTGTTGCAACAATGATCCTCAATGTGTACTATTACATGTATTTCACCAAGGCCACAGCCACACAACGCTCACAAAACAAACCATGCGAGCTCAACTGTTGGGATGGCTGGGTATGCATAGATCCAACTTATGAGCATAGGTTTACAAGTTTTGCTTCTCGATGTCACGAGTCTGATTGCAAATGTACCATGAAACTGTTCTACTGCAGAACTGTATTGTGCTTATCTAGTTATATATAATGCTGTTAGGACTAACTAGTGTTGAACCTGTTGGCATTAATTATTAATGCTGAATGAGAAATATAAACTTTGAAAATGTTATACCTAACAAGAACAGCAGAAGTTTTGCTTTAATGAACAGTTTGTCACTTAAGTTAGTTTTCGTCCATTTGAAGACTAAATTTTTTTTAGATGATTTTAAGAATGTATTTTTCAGATTAGTAGATACATCCAAATAAATTTATTGTTTAGATACTAACTTTAAAACTTAAAGTTTTAATTCAACTAACATGAAAGCACTTACCAAGAAAACTTGCTATGAATCTAACCTTGGAGTTATGAAAAATTAGTATATAAAATAGAATGACTAATCTCGATATTTTTTTTTCCTTTTCTGCCATTGCTATTTAGTGTGGTTTCATTATTGTTCCCTGTTCAAATCTGGACACGACAATATGGGACTGGGCTATAGGCCGGCCGACTAAGCCTGTCCTGTTTCTTGTTTTTCTCCCACGTGATTGCCTTTTGCAATCGCTTTTTGACTTGCTGGATCAACGACCCATATCTTAAAACTTTTCGGCCTCCAGACGATGGAAAATGTCACAGGTTAACTCAAGAGACTAATTGCATTTTGTAGTTATCCTCCATACCCCAACTTCCCTAATTGCAAATGAAAAAAATTAGAGGAATGAAGAATTAAACAAAATGTTTACATCTAATTTTGTAATAAATAAAATGGTATCATATGTCATCCATGTTGAAAAAAATTTTGTTTGTTGAAAAGTTGTTGATATAAATCTCTCTCTGGATAAAGTTTAGTAGTTATTTCTACAACATTATCAAAATTGTTCGCTTGTTGTGAACTTCTCAGAATATAATTAGCAGCACCAATAGATTAATTGATTTGTTCCAAATTTCATACTATCATTGGTTTTCAAGATACTGTCGTTAATTTCCAAATATGTTGCCGAGGGGTGTTTACTGCTATAAGTACATAGAAAAGAAACGAAGCAAGATAGAATGGCCTCTCACACAACAAGCTTAGTACAATTTCTTTTAATGTTTGATTTCATCGTAGTTTCAAGGTCTTTAGTTTAGTTTTAGCTTTGCGCTTCAACTTAAACTTGTCTTCAACTTTATTAGTCTTCAACTTTATTAATCTTCAACTTTAATTTAATGTCTTTTTCTTTAAAAATCTCAAAAATTAGTTTCAGTTTTTTGAAAATGCGATTCAGTTCTCATTTTATTGGTTTTGTAATGGTAAGATTCGCTGCCTTCAATGATATTTCTTTATAATCAGATTGCTTCCTTTCCTTTATTGTTTTCCTAGTTTCTTTTAATTTAATTAAGTGATGTCAATATTTAATTTCATGTTTTATTTTGTTTGTCTTTACTTATTGTTGATGGATGTTTTTGTAAAATGTCAAACTTGGACTCGAGTAGTTTCTACGTCACCAAGACCTGCCTTGATCTAAGCACCTATTAATGCCTTTAACGTGCATTTATCAAAAGGCCCAACAATATCTGATGCTGTAACACATGGCTAGACCCAACGTTATCTAATTCTGCAGTACATGGCTCCATCGCCAGAAATACATAAGTCTCTTTCCTTTATTATTTCCTTATTTATTAAATTTTATCATTTTCATCAACTGATCACTATTCCTTTATGCAGGTCATCAATAAACCCATGAATCCAAGCTCATGAGGACATTCAGGATAATCCATGGGAGTAGTGGCTTGGCAGGCATGGATGGGTGAACATTGCCTGTCTAGCAAAGCGAGGTATTCGCACCAACAAAACTTGGTGCTGGTGATGTTGCTTGACTTTGCCAAAAAGGGTTGGGTGGCGAAGACATGGAGGCAGGCTTGATCCCAAAAACATTATCATTTTGATGCTAACTAGAAGCTTAAAATCCCATTTAAAACCAACCAGAAATGTTGTTTTGGTCACCACAGCAACTTGTAGCCATATTTTATGCAAAGATGGCTGCACAATGCTGAAAACCACTGAGAAAGGTGGTTGCACAAGTTCCTTGACCTTGGAATATGTTGAAAAAGATTTGATTTTGTTGGGAAAATCTACCAAAATCTTAGGCAGACCTTGGGAATCTTCCAATATCCTGGCTAACCCTTGGGAATTTACCAAAATCTTGGCTAGATCTGATTTTTTGGCTACACTCAATTATCCCCCTAAAAATGGTACTTTGTATCGTTGGAAGAATTCCCAAAAATAGGTAGTTTCCAGTTTATCGTTGGAACCAGCGAAGCTTCGCCAGAACTATTGGGTAATTCATAATATCACTACCAGAAGGCTACCATCAATGCCCAGAGCCACTAAAAGTTTGACAACTCACCCAAACCAATCTGTACACCTCTGACCCACTAACCCAGAAATTACAAAAATGCCATTGCACATATATATTATTTTTCCTTCATTTTTCAACAGATTTGAACAGTTTTCACAACTCCAACTTTCTTCCTAAGGTACCAAAACTCCCATTTTTCCTTTGAAAAATCCTTCATCTTCAACCTCTCCCCAAATACACTAAAATCACCCAAAAATCATCATTTTTCTTTGATTTTCTGCATTTCTAGCATTGCAGAATATTTTCCAAACCTGTAGAACATCTTGGCTATGAGACAACATGTTGCAGCTTCAATTTTTGGGTGATTTTATTGAGCATTAGAGGATCAAGCTGAAGAGTTAGCATCAAAAACAAGATCAAGCCCTCCATTCACAAGCCCCCACAACGGTCATCCTTCCTTCTCCCATCACTACTTTCAAGTTTATTCATTTTGTCTTGTTAAACCTTGAAGGAGACTATTGTGCCTTTTATCTATAATATGAGGGTTGCTTATTATAGAATAGAAGTATTTGTTAAGGATAATAAAGGGCACATTCATTGTCTTTGCTATTGTACTACAAGATCCTATGTAAAAATGTGCTACAAGATACTATGTAAAATGTGCTTCTAAAGTTGTAATTTTTAATCGTTACATGTTTTATATCCTTGCTGCTCCTACAGTATTGTACATTTTATTTTCATTATTTTTGATATTTGTGTAATCATTCTTGTTATCCTGGGAACACCATCATTACCCCACTCTTTTTAGCTTGGTCGGGGACACTTTATTTCCAAACTTCGCTGGAGAAACTCTACTTCTGGACTTCGCTAGGGGATTTGCTACTGATCAACATCATTGGACATTTTGGAACTCGATTGTCATTGCCAGCTTTCCCTTTCGGCTTGGCTAGAAAACTTACACCCTTAGACTTTGTTGGGGAATTTGTGCTGACCAACATCGCTGGGCAAAACGAGACAACCCGTGGCACGTAACCTCTTGCACGTGAAATGGGTGTTGCCAAAAGGACCATCCACATCATCACTGTTGCGAACTCATCAACCTATATCACCAGCACACCCCAACACTTATATTCCATGCTGTCAGTAAATTTTCTATATTTCCTATTTAATTTACTTTAACTCAATTTATTTTTTTGCATTTACATTTCCTTTTTAGAGCTCTATTTCAACTCAACTTGCATATTTAAAATTCATTTAGATTTTTAGTAGTTTGGTGATCATTTACTTTTCTTGTAGTCTTAGCTTTTTTTGATTGCATTGCTTGGAGAAGTCCTTGCAGTCATATCCAAGACATTTTGTTGTATAACCCATTTAGTGTAGGAAGTTCATTCCTCGTTTCTACCAATCGTCTAATTATTAAGCCACACTCTACAACATTCTTCCATTGACTCACGGCTAAGTTCCACGCTTGGAAAGAAGAGAGAGTTGTCAGAAAAATCTTTTTTGTTTTGAGCAAAGCAAATAACACATCGTTTCACTTTCCATGTATCAAAGAGATTTTTTGGGATATCACAAATCAAAAGTTCATGATGCTACGCCAACGACCTAAGTAACTTAGTAGTTATCTCCTTCCACTAGAAGTAAGAGGTCCTAAGTTTAAGTCGC